CCGACCGATGCCCAGCCAGTCCCCGAGCAGCGGACCCCCAGCCAGCTTTCCCCCAGTTTATGTACTGAGCATGATGTCCCATGGTATGGAACGTCCCTGTGGCCAGTTGGGGTCAGCTGTCCTGGCTGTGCCCCCTCCCAGCTTCTTGTGCACCTCCAGCTCAGTCGGTAGAGCATGAGAAGCTGAAAAGTCCTTGACTAGTGTAAGCACTGCTCAGCGACAACTAAACCATCGGTGTGTTATCAACATTATTCTCATCCTAAATCCAAAACACAGCACTGTACCAGCTCCTAGGAAGAAAATTAACTCTATCCCAGCCGAAACCAGGACGACTGTCCAGGCTGTCTCTGCCCTCAGGGGAATTTTGAGCTTGTGCTTTTGTTGCTGGGAAGGAGCAACTATAAAATAGCTAGTGATATTAGACCTGGTTCTACTGGCTGAAAAACTCATCCAGTCCTACTCTTTGTGGTTGACGGACACAAGGGGATATCCTGATTATTTCCCCAGTCCACGGCAGGCAGATATGAGCTTGCTTTGGCTGCACTCAGGGCTGCTAGAGGATGCGTGTTACAAGCCACAGACTTTCACCCTAGAATTCCTCCAAGAAGCTGAGGAACGGGCGGCTGCTAAAAGCACGGGCTTTCCACGGAGAATGAGGTCACGGAGAGCTCAGGGTAGCTGGGCTGGACTCCCTGCTGTGTCCACACTCAGGACAGCCAGTGCCAAACCCTCACCGTTGTCCCGGCCTGCTGGTTCCCCAGTCTTGGACTTTGCCTGCTCATCCTGCAGCCTTTTCTGGTCCTGATAGTACTCCAGCACCTCTGGGGGCAGCTTCTCACCCGGGGCACGCGGAGGCAGCAATAAGGTGTTGTGGCAATCGTAGTCCTTCAGCATCCGCAGGATCTGGGCGCGTAGGGAAGAGAAGCCACATACAGGATGTGTTTCTTGACCTCCATCACATGAACAGACTCCCCAGCCAAACCTATCTTCTCCCTCATTCCTTCCTCCCAACAACACGGACCATCCAAGCCCCTCCACAGCCTGCCAGTGAAGCTGGCTAACCCTGAAATGCCACCAGGCTTTGCCCTGGGGACTGCCTCCATCTCCCCGGCACAAGCCTGGGAACGCTGGAGCACTGTGAAGCTCCGGGAACATGCACGTGGGGACCAGACCTTCCCTCTCACCTGCTCCTCAGCAAGGTACTGCTGGTCAAACTCCAGTGAGTAAAACTCAATGGGGAACTCGCATGGGTTCTTCACCACCACCGTCCCCTCTGCCCCATGGCTGTACGGCAGCAACGGTCCCAGCTCGAGCACTGGGGGGCTGAACTCCAGCTGTGGCTCCAGCCCATGCCCTGAGACCTGCAGCTGGAGATGCTGGCTGCTCTGGCAAATGTTAATCTTCAGCTCACTTTTGTAGGACTTCTGAAAGAGAGAAGTGCAGAAAGCTCCTCCATGAAGACCCAGGTGGCAGGGCCTCAAATTCAACCCTTGCCCCAAGGTCAGGGATGTTACCAGTACCTTTAAGGTCAATGGAAAACAGACATTAACTTATAGCAGGGGCTACAGCACCTGCATGCTGGCTCTGAGTAACTGGGATGAATCCTGGTGTGAAGTGTAACTAGATATTTGGGTATCAGAAGGATCTAAAATGGACTATCGGATGTTTTCACCTAGTTATGAGGGAGTGCAATGCTCATAAGAAAGGTTCTCATGGGTGGACTCGGCTCCCACAGGACTCAGGGGCTGCTTCACCTCCTTCTTCAGGGTTATGTTGCCCAGACACAGTCCTGGCACTGCTGCATCAGGCAAACATCAGCTATACGAAAGAGGCAGATGAGTTCTCACTGGCTAGAAATAAGCGTCTTCCTCTCTGCTCAGTGCTTGGCTCTAGTGAAAGCCAGGGACGAGATGGTTACATCTCTGCTGGCAATTAAAACATCCCCAGGACCGTTCCGAGGCATGGAAGCCCTTGTCTCCATCCTGTTACACACTGCCAGTTTCCAAGTCATGGCGGCCACATGCAAACTGCCTTTGGGAATGCTCCGTCGTTTATCCTGACTCCCAAACTTCCTGGGAACGTGCAGGCAGGCTGGGCCAGAGCCACAGAGACTGCTGGCAGCACACCACTACAGGTGACTGTCCTGCCGTGCCCAGGAAGGTGCCTGGCGGCTGTTTTGTCTGCCGGTACCAGCAGCAGGATTAGCCTAGGTCGGCCCTTCCAGGGTGATCCCCGGCGAGCGGGCCAGCTGCTCTGCACAAGGCTGTTGCAGCCTGCAAATAGGCCCACACAAGGGGGAAGATGAGGGGAAACAGGCAGATTTCCCCCCACGCGCCGAGGGAGCCACACCGCAGCGCCCTGATGCTCTCTGTGCAAGCTCCCCAGGGGGATTTCAAAGCGCCTCTCAGAAGAGTGTGCTGCAGGGGAAACTGAGGCACAGTGGGTACAGGGCTTGCAGAAAGCTCCATGTGGAGGTAGACCTCATCTCCTGCTCCCTGCGCCGGGCTCTCATTACCACACTGCCCTGCCAGACCTCCTGGGGGTGACGCCCGCCGATCTCACCTCTTCCATGGGCGAAAACCTGACTCGCACGTTGCATCGCTGTCCTGGAGTGAGGGCTCCAGCTGAGGGCAGCGCCTCAAAGACACAGGGCTTGGCCTTCAACTCCTGGAGCAGCTTCCGACGCGTGCTTGCTGGCAAATGTTTGTCCACCTGAGCACAGAAACCAATCGTGTGAGGTCTCCTTGGTCTGCAAGGACAGACCCTCGGCTCCCGCAGTGCTCTGAGATACTGTCACAGTGCCGAGAGCACCACTGGCCTAGAACCGGAGGGAAGACATATAGGCAGGGCAGGTAGATGGGGAGGCAGTGTCCTTGGAGGAGGAGGAATGGGTGAAGATGGCAGAGAAGTGAAGCATCAGCCAGTGAACAGGTTCAGGTGAACCAGCCTTGCTCTGTACCCTCAAAAGCTTCCTCCCACGAGCTGTAGCCCAAGTGCTCAGGCAGCCGTAGGGGCAGAAAAGGCAAGAGAGGCGAAGAAAACCCAACCAAGAAAGTATGCGTTACACATTGTCCGTGCTTTACCTTCTTAACAGGCTCATTCATGGTGATGAACCATTTACAGGGGACCTGGAGCTGATTGTGGAGCTGGACAGTTTCTTCCTGGCACTGCCCACACTGGACAGCGGAGAACTCCAGTCTGTCCCTGGAGAGGCAGAGGGATGGCACAGTCACGTTGGCACGGAGGTGGACGTGAAACGTGGGGCCTCCTGCTACCTAGTGAAGGACAGAGCATCCAGCTGAGAGTCCAAGTGACATCTGCTGCTGTCCTCGACCTGCCCCTGCCCCAAAAGATGCTGCGGGCACAGGGAGGTGAGGGACCATGCGGTACCTTGATGGGCAGGAGCACGTCCACCTCTCCCAGCGGCAGGTTGGCACTTTGTGGGTCGAAGCGCACTTCAAACGTCTCTGTCTCGCAGTAGGGCAGGTGCTTCACGCGGTCCAGCTCCACGCTGAAACCTTGAACAGATGGAAATAAAGCAGCTGAGACACTCAAGCGATATAAAATGTGTCACAAGCACATTAAGGCCATACAGGTGCCCTGGCTGGCAGCTCTGTGAAGGACCCCTTTGCATCTCCGGAGAAGCCTGCCACTCTTTCTTACTTGTCACCGCACAAGGAGGAAGGGTTTTCACAGCCAGAATCCAAGACCCGCATGGTAAAAAGGATCAGTTGAGGAGCTCCAACAATTCCTTCATCAGGCATCCAGGGAAGGATGCACAGACCTTTCCAAAGGAGAATTTCTAACTATGATTCCCCCATGGTGTTCCCTGGAAAACAACTTCGAGGAGACACCTGACCATTCCTCAGACACAGCAAGTCACCGTTTGATGGCACTGCAGCCTTACCTCAAGGCCTGTTTTGGAAAGCTATTTCGATACAACAGAGGACCTCACAGGCTGTTTTCTCAATAAAGGCAGAACAGAAGTGCTATGACATTACGAACGCTAAACAAAGCGCTCCCAAACCACCGAGTCCATCTGTTTGCAACACAAGCCCACAGAGCGCACAAAGAAACTCCGATAACGCTCATGGTAGCCAAGAGCAGAAGAGGCTGAGAGATGACCATGGCGATCAGCCCATCTAGCCCCTGCAATGAAGTGTTAGGACAGTCACAGGCAGGCCAGGTCTCTGGGCACTGCTGGCCAGGAGAACTTGGGCTCTAAAGCACCGAGCAGGGGGTACTAAGGAGGAAAAAGCTATACAAACAAGCACTCAGAAAAACTCCCCACGTCCAGCGGCTTAAGCTAATTTGCCAGAGACAGCTCCTTCAAGCCCACGTGAAGTCTCTCCAGCACTGGTTACCTGTGTCACACAGGACCCGTCCATCGGCATGGAAGGACACAGGGAACTGCCCGGTGTTGGTGATCTTCACGATGTGCGTGTGGATGTTACCGAGAATGACGTAGCCAAAGTCCAGGACATACTCGGGCAGCTCAGCTCTGAAAGGAGGAGTAAGGAGAGTCCTTAAACCACAGCCTGGCTACGTCTCCAAGTGGATGGAACATGCAAATAAAGCGGGTATTTCTGTATTCGCTGCTGTAAAAACTCAACTCTAGCCAGTGAAACCCAAGGCCTGACCACCTGGTAATAAGTCTTTGGTAAGCCACAGGGAGTATAGGTCCTAGGTTTTATTAGCTACCAATGGGACCTTAACATAAAATTATTTTGCACTGCTCTGCAACCAGATGTGTCCCCAAAGGAGCACTGGTAACGCAGTAATCAACACCTACAAGATTCACGGGAAGGTCCTTTTCCAGAGCAATCCCACTCGGGAAAATACATAAATGATCTGTTTTGCAGAGCATCTTCTTCCTGAATTGGAGCCTACAGTGCCCATCCCTCATCATGAAGGAGCAAAAGGAACAACCAAGTTACCTAGGTAAGCCCTGCAGTCCCACCAGCATCCAAGCCACCTGATTTAGGGTTTGTCTGTTGGGTTGACGGTTGGACTCGATGATCTTAGAGGTCTTTTCCAACCTCAATGATTCTATGATTCTATTCTATGATTCTATGATTCTAAAAAGCTATACAAACAAGCACTCAGAAAAACTCCCCACGTCCAGCGGCTTAAGCTAATTTGCCAGAGACAGCTCCTTCAAGCCCACGTGAAGTCTCTCCAGCACTGGTTACCTGTGTCACACAGGACCCGTCCATCGGCATGGAAGGACACAGGGAACTGCCCGGTGTTGGTGATCTTCACGATGTGCGTGTGGATGTTACCGAGAATGACGTAGCCAAAGTCCAGGACATACTCGGGCAGCTCAGCTCTGAAAGGAGGAGTAAGGAGAGTCCTTAAACCACAGCCTGGCTACGTCTCCAAGTGGATGGAACATGCAAATAAAGCGGGTATTTCTGTATTCGCTGCTGTAAAAACTCAACTCTAGCCAGTGAAACCCAAGGCCTGACCACCTGGTAATAAGTCTTTGGTAAGCGACAGGGAGTATAGGTCCTAGGTTTTATTAGCTACCAATGGGACCTTAACATAAAATTATTTTGCACTGCTCTGCAACCAGATGTATCCCCAAAGGAGCACTGGTAACGCAGTAATCAACACCTACAAGATTCACGGGAAGGTCCTTTTCCAGAGCAATCCCACTCGGGAAAATACATAAATGATCTGTTTTGCAGAGCATCTTCTTCCTGAATTGGAGCCTACGGTGCCCATCCCTCATCATGAAGGAGCAAAAGGAACAACCAAGTTACCTAGGTAAGCCCTGCAGTCCCACCAGCATCCAAGCCACCTGATTTAGGGTTTGTCAAGCTAATACCTATGCTCTTTTTGCTTAGCGTGATCCGTTTGTTGGAAAAAAGACGCCAGCTTTGAGTTGTCTCTTTCAGAGCTGGTCAGCAGGGATGGTGTCCGTGCTGCCTGGATGGGCTTGATGGTCTGCACTGGATCCCCTCAGCTCTAAGAACAGAACCCATCATGCGTGGGGAGTTGAGCACCTCCAAAGCTCAGGGTGGCACTGTGGAGGTGAGGACATTCAGCTGCTCACAGGGAGCATGTCAAAACTATCAGGATCAGACCCTTTCTGAAGTCCCCAGCTATTCCCAGCTCTGCAGACACAAGGAGCTCTCAGGAGCAGGGGTGCGCCGCCGGGTGTTACCCTTGGGGTGCCTGGAGATAGGGTACGGGAGTCCCCACTAACTTGAGAAGCCTCCGACGAGCATGCTGGTCAAAGGCAGTGTCCTCTGGGGGACCGGAGGAGAGAGCTTTCTGCTGCTCCAGGGCGTGTTCCTCTATCAGCATCTGCTCCATCTGCATCTGCAACCGAGTGTCAAACTGAGGAAAGCAAAGACGGTGGCTGGTTAGCAAAGGTCCTTCCAAGGGACAGGCTTGTCCCTGAAAGAGGATCCCACCCTACTCTTGTTGAGACGGGTGATGGGGTCCTCCTGTCTCGCTGCTCAGTGTCTGTGACACCTCCTGCTCTCTTAACCAGGACCTTATCTGAAGGGAAATGAACTCCAGCATCTTAGCCTGCCCAGTCACTGTTATAAAAGCTGATCTGGCCAGACAAACAAGTCAGGAACCTTCCAGTGCTCCAAGTATTTCCCTGCCCCCAGCCACTGCCAAAGCAGCTTGGACAAAAGCGCTCTCCAAAAGGGAACCACGATAGAGCTGGTGCCTCTTGGAGATGAACACTGACAGCACGGTCCAGGGCGCAGTCAGGCTGCTGCTATTAAGCTCTGTAAACCTGGCAGGGCTTGGGTTGTGAGCAACAAACACCCCAGCGATGACCTGCGTCTCCATCAAAGTACCATAAATCAAATCACTTGAGCGTGGTCTTCAGGATCTCTCCGTGGGGTAGTCAGGAAGCTGGTGCATCTACGGGAGGGACAACTACCAGAGGTGGGCAGCCCCCTGGGGCAACGCTGAACTGAGATGCATGATCATGGCCAGGTGCGGGCAGGGAGGTCCCAAGTGCAGCAGGGCACCGCAAAGCCTGCTACGGGGTGCAAGGGGCCCAAGTGACACAGCGGGAGGGTGGCACGTGCCAAACAGGACAGCAGCCGTTCTCACCACGGTGCCCGAGTCATCCGTGGGTGGCTCTGCGGCCGCAGCCTCCCCCAGAACAACTGCTTCATCTCTCTGGCTGTCTTTTTCCATCTTCTCTTTTGCCTCTTTGAGGATCTTCTCATATTTTTTGTTTCCTGCAAGAAGAAAACATCCACAAATAGAAGTGTGGGCGCAGCGCCATTCCCCTTTAAGCTGGGAAGCCCCACTCCCCTGACGCTGGCCTCTCCCAGAAACAAACCCCTCAAGCAATGTATGGAAAGTGGATGCTACTTTTCCTCTATGAATCCTGGTGTTCACTCCCACCCATCTACTCCCCGCACAGGAGCATCTCATCCCCTGTAACGTGACGCAAATCCAACCCTGCCAAAATCCCTGCCAGCCTGCGTTACAGCTTTCCCGAGCATTTCTGTCTAACCATCATCTTTCCAGGCCACCAACAGATACACTGGCAAGCTCTGCAGGATGGTTCCTGGGGCAAAGCCCACATGGGCTTCTAGAGACTCAGGAAGCAAACAGAGGGCTGAGTGTTGGTCTGACAGCCCTGAAGCCTCCAGGCTTGGTGGAGGTGGGTGTGAGCTGCCCTATGGGCATATGACATGGGGGAAAAACCAGGGGACCTTCCTGGGGAGCAGACAGGCAGTACTCACCTTTGATGTTCCTGGGAAGGTCCAAGTAGATCCTGGGGAAGCTCCCCTCTCCTTTCAGGGAGATCTCTTCTGGCTCCAGGTGACCCACTTGGATCTGGAAAGTCCTGCAGAAGACTCCAGGCACTCCCGGCAGGTAATAGACTTTGAGCACTTGCTCCTCGCCAGGTCCAACGTAACCCTGCAGGGTGTGGGAGAGGAGGGAGGGAACGCAACCAAAGAGAGCTTGGTGGAGGGATGGCTCAGACAATAGGCACGCTGAGAAGAGAAGGCAGGTTCTCAAAGATAAGAAAGTATCAGACAACATCACCTTCTAGCCTTCTTGTATCCGAAAGCTCAAGTCTCCTACACCAGGATGCAGTATGTCCTTCAGAGGGCTCATGGGATGCATTCCCACAGCACAGACTGCCCTTTGCTCAGCATGAGCACAGCTCTTCTGCTGACGGTGTTTACCCTCTGCTAGCAAGAGCCAGACTGAATAAACAAAAGCTCTTTTACCAGCTGCTATGGAAGATGAGTGAAGTGCCCGCGCTCTCAGCAGAGGCGGCAGCTCCTGTCACAGCACGTCAGTGGTTCCCAGGCTGGTGTCGAAGGGCCCGACCCCTTATTAATGACCCCAACCAAACATCTCCTATCTGTGCGGTTACACCGAGCGTGCACGAGCCTATCTGGACTCATGGTGACCTGCAAACATACGTCTCTGGAAAAGCAGGAGCTAAGACAAGATCCGGGGAAGAAGGTGTTGCCAGGAAGGTCACTTCCTCTCTGGGCTTCCAGAAGGGCTGTCTGAGCCCCGGGCTGGGTCACGCCAGCCAGGTCAAGAGCAAATGCAAGCAGACAGGAACATGGCCTCTGGGTGACAGGACACAGCCGCAGCTTTCCTTGGCTTGCCCTCTGCACTCTGGGCTGGACCCTCGGCTCCCCGCTCCCTTCCACGCTGCAGGGAGAAGCTGCTGAGCGGGACAGATCCTGCCACTCGGTCCCCTGAGCCCTTACTCCAGCACACAACACAGCTGCAGTGCAAGTGAGCCCTGCCCAACTGCCAGGGCCGATGACGCTGTTACAGCAACTGACAGCACGGGTCCAAGCAGAGCTGTGTCTTCGGAAGCTCGCAGGAAGAGGGCATCAGTGTGTCATCCCTTCTAGGAGACAGGTACGAGGAAATGTGAAAGCCATTTGGCTTCCTCTTCCCATCGCAAAAAGGGACAAAGATAGGAACGCTGCTTCAGCTCAAAGACATCTGAGAAGCTGGGATGGTGGGATGCTGCAAACTCCTCTCCTTGCTATTCCAGCCCCGCTCCTCCCTCGCCCCCTCACTGCCCCACAAAGCTGCTGCAGAGCAGCAAAGCTGGAGGAGTGAGGGACCAGTACAGGGGCTGTTACAATTTCTGGCAAAGGAGCTGCACACCCAAGCAAGAGAGTATTTAAGTCCTGCTTAGTGCTGGCAGGGGGCAGGCAGGGTTTGTTACAGGTGGGGACAAGGAGTAAGTCCTGTCCGATCACACAACCTGGGTAAGGTGACCCTCAGGAGAGCCTGCACCGTCCGGCTCCGGCGTCCGCACAACCAGAGAGCTCAGCAGCTGGGGCCCAGAGAGCTACCCAAGCACTCGCGCCTCCTGCCAGTGGTTGCTGTATGACAGCAGAGCCACCGGCCAGCAAAGGCCACTAAGGGAGTCGATCAGGACCACGCCTGCTCGACCTTCTCTGCCCCCCGGGCAGCAATTGCTTACAGCCCTGTCTCCCCTGTCTGCTTTTGTGGGTTTGTTCTTTTTTTTTTTGTTGTTGTTCTTTTGTTTTCCCCCCCCTATAACCCTCTCCTAGGCAGCCTGACACAGGGCCAGGGTTAATCACTTGTACTACCTCCGTACTCACCGTGCTGGGCACGACCAGGGGCACGCCAGGCAGAGGGCTGTCTGCAGCGGCTGCGCTGGGGCTTAGCACCACGTAGGTAAATCCTACTTTCCCGCTGTTCTGCAGGGTGATCTCTGCTTCGGTGACTTCGTAAAACAGCTGAAGAGAGGACAGCGGAGCGGGAAGTTACAGACACAGATCTGCTGCTGGGAATTCTCCTTCCTCTTTCATTGGGTTGAAAGCAAACAAACACAACCACAGAGGGACCACAGAGGCGATAAGGGCACTCGACTCTCCCGGGTTCACCTGGGGAACCCACAGCCAAAGGGTGCCTCTTAGCCCTACACAGGAACAGATACTTACGGCAGCACACAGAGGTGCAATAATAACCACGTAAAGATCGGTAATAAACAAACGAGGGGATACAAGCCCTCTGCACTTTAAGGTGTCATCCAACAGCTAGCTGAAACAAAGAAGGAAGCATCAAGGCATTTCGGAAGAAAAGGCACCCAACATGCAAGCATTTGCAAGCAAAATACAAGCCAAAAGGGAGACAGACAGTGCAACACATACAGAGCCAACAGCTGGAAGTATCTGTGGGGTTTTTAACTGAAAAGAAGTAAAGCAGGGATTATTCTGGGACATTCTCTCCAGCTATAGTGACTGGAAGCCCAAGTTAACGTCCTCCCTGGTTTGTTTTGTTGATTAATCAAGAGCATTGAAAAAGAGCATCTCCTTGGACCTCAGGCTTTAGGAGCAGATCGGAGGACGGACGTCTCAGGGCATGTCCTGATCTGGAGATCACCACTGGGACCCTGCCTGCCCCAGGAGGCAGCGTTAGTAACCCTGAAGAGGAGGAATTCCCAACTTTGGCGGGGGTGGGCGGAGGTGACCATTAAAAACCAGCTTGGATGCAGGACGTATCACTCAAAGGTTGTACTTCCAAGCCATACAGCCAACAAAGTAGCTGGGAAGGGGAGAGAGCCCTAGACCTAGGCGGGCAGCAACCCACCAATGATGGTTTCAGGGACCTCTGCTGAGAGAAGTGCGTGGTACCTGCAGGCCGCAGTCGATCTCCATGACGTCTAGGAGGTAGTTGATGAGCGAAGCCTCCCCGCTCAGCGCGATCTCGTAAGTCGGGCCTCCCTCCACCCTGCACAGCGCCACGACGCGGGCAATGATGTTTGTGTGGCCAAAGAAGGTGAACGTGACCCACTGGCTCTCGCCTGGCTGCAGCACACCGTACAGCGGCAGGACATCAAAAACCTGGAGGTAAGGGAGGAGAGATCAAGACGTTGAGCATCAAAATTGATGCAGAAGAGCAGCCGTGGCTTGGAGCAAAGGACAGACGTGGCTGGAGGGGCCTCTTCCTCAAACACAGGCAAAATCATCCTAATCTTGTCCTGCATCCATTACACTTTCCAGTGGAAGAACCATGGGAAAAATCTTCTCCCATACTGACTAATTAATGCATTAATTAATGCACTACATTAAAGTAATTTGGGAGGTCTCCTGGCAGCAAGAAATTCTCTCCACTGCAGAATTTTCCTTTAAAAACCACCTTTTACTGCCTTTAGAAAAACACAAGACTCAGAAGTGAGAGCCCTTGGAGCCGGCGGGAGGACTCCAGGCCAGCTCAGCTGACTCCTGATGCTTTTCACTCTCTCTCCGATTTGCATGCTGCTCGCTCTCAAGATGCTACAGCAAAAGCTACCGCAGAAATTTCCTAGTGGCCACTTGATTAGTAACAAGACGGATAATACCCTCCATAGGTGCTGCACAGGTAGCGTCCTTGGTCAGCCCTACGACGTCCTGCACGGCCTCTCCAATGACCAGTCGCTTCAGCAGTGCTGTGCGATGCGCTTGGAGGGGTGCGAGGCCACTCTGTGAGCAGCACCGAGGGCCACCAGTGGGAGTGGGGGCTACATAACTGCTTGCCACACTGGAAACGCAGAAGTGAGACAGATTCCCACTTACCTCCTCCACTCCCAAGGCGAGGGGCTCTGCCTCCATGAACTGCATCAATTCCTTGACCCTCACTGGGCTCTGAGTCTCCGCAGCACCTTCCAGCTCCGCAGCAGTAGATGGTAGCGGCTGGAAAACAAGCACCATGGGCTGCAGTAAGCAGCTGGCTGGTCTGGGTGAGACCACTCTGCTGCAGGCTCCACCACCTCATCTAGCCAGGAGCAGCTGAGATGGGACCTGGGCGCAAATCAAGTAGGGGTATGTCCATGCCAACAGTTGAGTGTGGGTCCAAGCCCACCCACAGGTGAGACGCGGGCTCCATCTGCACTTCTGACACGCAAGCTTGCACGAGGAAGCCGGGTGCACCCAGCACTCACTCCTGGCAGAAACCTCAAAGGCATTTTGCACCCTCGAGCCAGCCCAGCTGCGCTCACTCCTGCCCAAGGAACACGCTGAGAATCCCACGCTTGGACAGGTTCGGTCTTCTGTGACAAAAATAGGAACACAGCTGCAAGCAAGACGTATCAAAACCAGGAAAATAAGGACTTAGAAAGTGCTCGGCACAACTATCCCATTTGAGATGGTGCTTAGGTTTCATCTCATGCACTCATCAGTGCTGGAGAGCTGAGGAACTCTGCCGGGTCATTCTTCGCCAACGGCACCTTCCTGAAGAAGGCAGCTGAGATGTTTTTCTGTCTTGCAACAGCAGCTGAGAGCTGGTATTTAACCTCAGAGGTGTCATCTGTCAAAAGGAACCTCATCCCTGGGCTTCTAACCCCTATTTATAAATGAGGGCTTTCTGATTGCTCTTGAAGTTTAAGAATACCTGCTTCTTTGCTAATGTGAAGAAGTGCTTTGTGCTGTGACCTTGACTTCAGCAGATTCTGCAAGAATATTTACCGGACATCCTTAGACCTAATCAGGGGCTACACCTCCCCAGTAGATAAAGCACTGGGGAGGGTAGAGCCTTCTCGCATTTCGATGCCCTTTCTGTCACCCCCACATTTTCAAACCCAGCAAAGCTTTGCCAAGCATATATTCCCAAAGATGCTAACCACACCTTTCCTAGGCCTGTGGTCTCCCACCTCCCCAGGGAGGTTATACGGATATCACCTTGATGCAGAGACACAAGCAGAAGATGAAACTGCAATCCAGAGGTATCCTTTGAAGCAATTTTGGATCCTACTTAGCCACGTCCACTTGAATTTCCCTGGTTTATTGGTGCATACATGGCAACAAAGCAGGAAATAAAGATGATTTCATGCTTCTATCCAAAAACATTCAGCCACACTATTCTTTATGCTTACAGGGTACCATTTCTCCTGATTCAGAAAAAATGTGCAGCTATAACATTAAAACTGCCAGTATTTGGATGTGAGCAGGTGCAACTCCTTTCCTTGAACTTAATGCCAACGCTGGCACTTTCTGAACCTCTCGTGCTTTCTCACATCCTTTTTTTATTGCTCCAGGAGCAGCCTCTCTCCCACACGACGCAGAACAAGGCGCCAGTTCCCACTAGCACCAAGGTCAAGCTCCAAAGCACCGAGGTTCACCAGGAAGGTCAGCAGACCAAAAGCCATTTTCCATGCTAGGAGGAAGAGACAGTGACTTTGCAAAGTCTTGTTTTATAAAAGACAGCTCTTGTGGCCATCAGCGCAATACCGGGTCTCGGGGGAAGGCAGAGACATGAAAATGGGTGGCTCTAGCTGGGGTTGAGAAGGTGGTACATGGAGATCAGCACTTGGCACGGCTTGATATAGAGAGGGAACGGAAAGCCTTCACATCATGATGCAGATAAAAGCCTCATTTTACATTGTTAAAAAAAAAAAAAGTAAAAAAAAAAAAATCCCAAACTCCACATAGGTCCGTAGGATCTGAGTGGGCTTCTCCAAGCGAAACTATCCTATTTCTCACTTCCCAGAAGCCCCGTGTCCAGCTGCTGGCCCTGCTGCCCGGCCCGCTCTCAGGACACGTGACAGCAGGGCAGCAAAAAGGGAGGTTGGCACGAGCGCGGCTTCTTGGAGGCAAGCTGGGGGAGGCAACGCAAGCGGCAGGTGTACAAGAAAATCTACCTTTGCTTCCAGGGAGTCATCTGCATCTGCTGGCTCTTGGGCAGGATCCCCCGCTGCTCCCAGGGCTTCGGCTGGCTCCGCTGCACCTCCATCCCCGGAGCTGCTCTCTGCAGACCCCGAGAGCTCTGACCAGGCTCCCTCTTCCTTCGGTGGTTGGGGTTTGATGAAAAATTTAGGTGCTGGAGGGCTGAACCTGGAGAATAACATAACGTTGATCATGGGCCTGCAGTGGGAGGGAGGAAAGTCTGCACGAGCAGCTCCTCGCCAGGACGCGGCCCCTGGGTGGGCACTGGTGGTGTGAGCTCGGTGACGGGTCTGACCCAGCAGCTCCGAAACCAGGACGGAGCAGGTTAACTCTTGGGGCCGCCCAGGGACAACACGCCTCGCCGCTGGTATAGCAGCGGTGCAGGCAGCTGGCAACTGGTTGCAACAAGGAATGGAAGAAGACACAGAGGTGAACGCCTTGTGGGGAGGCAAAAAGTGCAGCAGGAAAGGAAAAGACAGACAAACTGCAAAAAGGTGAGACTGAAACACAAAGGGGCAGATCCGAACAGCGATGAGCCAGTACAGACCCACCAGTGCCCTCCTGAGAGCACCCACCGCCGCGGACCGTGCCCTCCCCACCCAGAGGGCCAAAGCGAGAAATTTTGCAGCTCTACTCGACCTTTATCCTGAATATTTCCCCTGACAATTACCCGCAGCTGTAGGTCAGTACAAGCAAGCGGCGATGCTGGTGGCTTTCTCTAAGTGGGATCAGGCGGGAGCAGGGATGGAGCCCGCAGCCTGCTGTGCCCTGATCGGACAGAGCCCAGCACAGCTCAGGGGCACCCACGGAGCCCAGCACGGGACACCCTCGCACACGCAACGCCACCAGCAACACGGAAAGACACGCCGAACAATTCCAGGCAGAGACTCACAATTAAACAGCCCATTGATCCCTGATGAGCACCGAAGCAGCAGTGATTAGTACTTTGGGGAAGGAAGTTTCAGTCATTTTTAATCAATATACAGCAAACGTCGATGACAAGATTCAGGTCCCTGCTGTGCCGCAGGCGCTCCCCAGTTGCAAAACAACAGCTCTGACTGCACCTCGCGCTAAAAGGGCAGCAGCTCTGCTGAAACAAGGTTGTAACTGATGTGGCACTTACCGACGGCGTCATTACCTCTCCAGCAGTTTCTAAACTCAAACCGTTTGAGGACCAATTTGGCAAATGATTCAGCAAAGCTGAAGTTTTTACCAAGAGAGCTGAGTTTACAGTTTGACCGACATCTGACAGTAAAAAGTATATGGTTTAAAATTTTCTGACATTCCCAGGTGACTCAGATTACGTTCCCTGTTTTGAGTTGGGGCAGGTGCTCACAGTAACTCTGCTTGTATTTCTACCGTCACGTGGAGGGACACCCTCGAACCATGCCTGCCTGTCACTGTGCCTATTTGCAAGTGTTCCCCACAGGCAAACAAGGCAGATTTTTACAGCAACCTGGGTGCTTTATTCCCCGCTGGAAATTCAGTGCCTTTATCGATATGCTCCCAGACGAATATTTATCTTTAGCTTTGTAGCTTATTATCTAAGGCTAGTTTTCATTTCTGGGTTAGAGGCTCTGCTCTTCATAACCTGAGAGGTCCCACCTGACTTGCCTTCCTGCAACCGCACGCAAGAACAAGGCTTGGCCCAGGTGAGCTGCTCCGCAGCCCTCCCTCCGCCTGCTGCTGGGACCCCACGGGGGACCCCGAGCGAGACCTCAGCACCGTCCACATGGAAGAGCAAAGCAGGACTGGAGGGGACGAAGGCACTCGCTCGCCCCTGCGAAGCATCACCCATCTCCAGTCCCATCCGTGCAACCTTCACTCCTCTCGGCCGAAGCACCTTAATATATGTGTCGGGGTGCACTGATGGGCGACCAAACTGCTCAACGCCTCCAGCAGCCGCTAACTCGGGCATCTGCGTAAGGATGAAATAAATTCAGCTCAGCTGCGACAACGGTGCCTCTGGGCAGCCTGCAGCTGAACATTACTTCTCCTGGGTGATAAGGGAGATGCCTTGTACCCCATAGGGGTACAAATATCCAGGGCCAGGAGCACCTGGAAGCCCTCCAGCTACGCACCAGTCCGCACACCAGTTCAGCGCATGAGTCTGGCCATCCTCACAGCGGCTGTCCCAAAACTGCTAGCTGCGATCCATCCTAGCGAGGAAATGAAAGCGCGGCTCTTAGAGCCGCTTGTGATAAATACTGCGGGTTAATAACAACTCCTGAGGAGAGGTAAACCCCTGAGATGGAAAATCCATAATCATTTATTAAATTACCTTTAGTTTTATAGAATGGTTTGAGGCAACTTCATGGGATTGCAGTGCCTAGACAACAATATTTTTCACTCTAAAGTAGAAGCCCTCTGGGACCCGGTGCGGGGAGATGATGAGATTAGCGAGTCCTGCTGCAGAGAAGCACAAAGCACAGCGAGGGACTTTCTCCAGTGGGGGAAAGTCAAGATGAATAACAAGAAGCATAACATGAAAAGGAAGGGAGCGAGGAACCCAAGGTGTCAATAGAAAGCTGACCCCTGGGACAAGAAATCTTCCTGGCGCTGAAGGAAAGGGGGTTGTCTTAGAAAAGGAGGAGGAAGGGGAAGATAACAAGATGTTCAGCATCAGCCCAGGCTTCAGGCAGCTCTTTCTCTGATGTGAATTTGGGACTTTCTGGGCACCCTCTAGCACCTTCAGGCCGAGGTTGTGAATGCAGGGAGGAAGGCAAAGAGCAGAAAGCAGTTCCTCCACCTGCAGAGAGGACCCATCCCAAACCAGAGGGGCCAAAGGGCTGTGGAAGTGTCTCCACCAGCACCGTGGTGGAGCCTCCCCACATAAGCAGGTCAGCCGGGAGCTGAAGGGGCTGAAAGCAAGGTCGTAACCCCTCTGGGTCCGTCTCACCCAACCCAGCCACCCCTCAGATGAGACAAAAATGCATCCAGGAATTAACAGTGGGGATTTAATGGGAGCACGGGCAGACTGACATCAGGGAGAGAGGGGTCCTTCCTGCTAGGGCCGGGACAACCTTGTGCCACCCACCGTCCCCAACCTCTGAGACATTAGAAAAAAAATATCTCAGCCTGTCTCCTGGTTTCTGAGCCTGCCGGGGACACAGCTTCACACCGCTTCCCACACCCACCTCCCAAAATAGAGGAGCTAGAAATCACACTGCTTCCGCAAGCTACATGTGAAGATTCACGCGGGATGACGTGACCCTGCCGAATCAGGCTGTGTGAGAGCCGGCAACATCAGGACAGTCACCCCAAAATTGTAACGGGAATGCCCGCGGTCCCTGCAGCCCCTGCCAGCACCAAGGACATGTGCCAGAAGCCACCACCTCTTCGCATTAAATGCAAGAGTTTTAACAGTGCTGAGACTGCTTCCCTAGTGCGTGGTACCCACATGCGGAGCATCCTTGCCCAGGCCCTCAAGGACCACCTGCTGGTGCACCCGTTAGGCACAGCCACGGCACCGGGTGAAAACAAGCCTCCCAACAAAGCACGAGCCCTTCTCAGGTTATCACAGGGCAAAGCACCGGAGACCGCATGTCCGTGAGGCATCTAAACAGGCTCCTACGATGCACTTTTATTTCTCCTTCAGGCCATCAGATGCGTATTAAACACTTTGGAGCAAGCCACAGACAGCTCAAGGGTGTTTGCAACTGAAAGCAAAATAATATATAAGACAGGAGTAAACTGAAAACCTTCCCAGTGCACCGTGTGGGAGCCCTGGGCTTGAGCTGGGCCACGTGGCCAGCAGCTGAAGAAGGCGGTGGTGATAGTCTGCCCTCATCAATAGTGACTATTAAACTGCATTTTGTCCAAATGGCCCTGAAGCCTATTTCTTTGCTAGGATAAATTCCTCTGCTAATCTAAGGTTTGCGTATTTATTGAACCACCCATTGAAATTCAGACCAGGCAGTGGAGAGACAGAGAAGAGAAGCAACGTTGCTGCGGTGAGATCTGACACCTCCAGCTTCTGTCTTGCGCACGCTGGAAATTATTAAGCTGGATTCAGCGTTCATCTGAATGCAGCGAGCGGTCTTGGGGACATCCCACTGTGACCGAGTATGAATTAACTTGCAGTTAATACGCAGTTTAATGGCCACTTACTTACTTGAGTCAAAAAAATGTCACTTTTGAGAGATGAGGGAGAATTTTGATTTCTTGTTTGAAAGTAGAAATTGTGTAGGAGTGGACGCAGGGATGCTACTACTGAAAAGAAGTGAAGTATCCCGTGCTCCTGGGGCAGCAACCAGAACTCTCCAGCACCCGTCAAGCAGGAGCCACAGGATTTGATTTTGGGGTGCACCGAGAGCTTCCTGCTGAAGCCCACAGACCTCAACTGTACCATCACTAGACGAGAGAGTCAGAGGAAGGTCTGAGGCCCCTCGAGCTCCTTCTGACGTAGCTCGTGCCTCTCGCAGAGTGTTTCCACGGGATGTGGCTGGTCCGGTTTTGCAGGGTGCAGGTGCTAAAGCTCCTCAGCCACGTTGGTCCAACTTAAGCTGGATCAGGGCCAGTCACCACTGGCACTGCAGGCACAGCGGGTCTTCGTGGAGATCACCCTTAGGCCGCAGTACTTTCCTCTCTTGACAAGTTGTGGCCCTGGAAGAAGTCCCCACTGACTTTACTGGAGTTACTCTGACTTGCACTGATTTTACAGGCAGCAAAACATCGCCCGTTAAGTCCTCTCCTTCCTCACGCGTTGCACATCAGCCAGGTGATCTATAAGCATCAGATGAGGCGGTAGGAAGCTCCTGATTCTCTATCAGACAGAATAATACTTCTCAATCAGACTCTGGCCAAAGGTCCCTCTGAACAAATCAGTAGCTTTAACGATAAATACAATTTGTAGTCTTTGTTCAAAATTAAACAAGCCCCGACAGCTGTAATTTGGAGATGCTATTTAAAGTACTCAGCATCAATTCCAATCTTACCAGCTACTTCAAAAATGAGCTCTGCAAACAGACGACTGTATCGACTCCCATAACTGATAGCAGAGGAGGAGAGACGCGCTCCAGCCGTCTTTGTGGCAGGGATTTGGACATTCACCATTGTAAGATGACTTCATGGGGGCAAGCCTGAGAGCTTGGCAAACCACAAAGGGTATGGCTGCAAGGGTTAAAAATATTAGGAAGCGGTGGGGAGCCAAAGAATTGGTTGAGCAT